TCAAATATTTTCGTTAAATCTATAGAGGCCACCCGTCTTTAGTAGAGCTGGATATACACAAGTCGAAAATAGATAAAAGCAGGATCGTAAACACTGGAATTATTCAACTTCCATGTTGTGGCTGGTCTACAGCATTCTTATAAACCAATATTTATTGACACAGTGACTGCTACGGCCTCCATTGTTCGACGCTAAGAACAGATGTTTATGGCAATTTGTTCATATTCAGGCTTGGGAGCGCAGACTACTGCTCCAGTTCGCAGATATCCTGCTATTTTTAACTCCAGATGTTAGCTGCCCTTCAGGTGGGGCGTGTGTGAAGTATATATGACGGAAACAATGGCGGGCGGATGATGGCTTTTTAATACTGGTCAGCGTCAAGAACCCAAAGTATGCTGCATGCATCGCTCGGCTTGGAGAAGGTCATTCCTGACTGAATGAGCATGCTGCAAGTTGATTCTCCATTGCTGTGTGAATTATTTTTTCACTGCGTTGTCTGTTTGCCTATCTCGCATCAGCTAAAGTGCATCTTGACTTCGGGCCTTTGCGACGAAAGATAGGATATAGCTCACTGACGACGGCAGCTACGTTAGGGAATCAGTGGAGTGTAGGGGTGTCAGCAGTGGGTTCACGTGATGGTCGTGGTGGTCGCTCACTTGCTTGCAGGTGAGACTACGCCTAGCGTTCACTTGCTGGCACACAACTCTCACCTATGGCTCCACGTAGCTGGGCTCTGCTCAGCGGCCACAACCCTGGCAACCGTCTCGACCGGCGGGCTAAACCAGGTGAGGGGGTCCTGTGCGCTGTGACGTGTGCACAGGGTTTGCGGATTCCGCTGGATGGAAGGTCGGATGGAACCTTGCGTCGGCACCGTCGTGACGTGGTTCGTCTCTGCACGCCGCTGGACAGCCGGTGACGGGATGGATCTCCTCATCGACATCGCCTGGACGCGCCTACCTACGCCGTCGCAGACCGCGGCTTACGGCGAATTCGAGTCGCTCTCCACTACAACCCGAAGTCGTGGTCCCATAGTGGAGTTCGGCCGTGCCACAACGGCCCATGGCAGCCCTATCCAGGGATGGCACTGCCAGCTCCCACGAGGGCAAGGGCCTAGAAAAGGTGGCCTAAACACTGCTGGGCACCACGCCGTCTTCAGGCTAGCCAGGGCCGCAGACGTCTCATCATGGTCGAAACAATCAAAATCGAAAAAACAACAATAACAATAACAACAACAACAATACTCGCTCACCTCCTCATTCTACCTCTTCTTTCCCTTCCTCTGCCTATTCTTCTGCCTACTCTTCTCCTTCGCCATCTTCTTCTCCACCTCCTTCCCGTCGCCCCACTCGCTGTCCCCAGACTGGCAGGGTGAGCCCGCTCACTCTGGCAGCCTGGAATGATCGTTCCCTTTTAGACAATCCGAGGAACAACCGACCGGAACGGAGGACGGCGCCAGTGGCACGGAAACTGACGCGCTACAAGGTGGACATCGCCGCACTCGGCGAGACCCGATTCTCCGAACAAGGCCAACTGGAGGAGGTGAATGCCGGCTACACCTTCTTCTGGAGCGGTCGACCCAGGGCAGAGCAACGGGACGCGGGTGTCGCCTTCGCCATTCGGAACGACATCGTGGGACGACTGCCCTGTTTGCCGCAGGGCATCAACGATCGCCTGATGAGCCTCCGTCTGCCTCTCTGGGGAGGCAAATTCGCCACCATCATCAGCGCCTACGCTCCGACGATGACCAACCCCGACGCCGTCAGAGACAAATTCTACGAGGACCTGCACGCCCTCTTGGCGACTGTGTCGAAGGCGGACAAGTTGATTGTCCTTGGTGACTTCAACGCCCGCGTCGGCACAGACCATACTGCCTGGAGAGGAGTGCTGGGTCCCCACGGTCTCTGCGGCTCAAACGACAATGGTCTGCTGCTTCTCCGCATCTGCGCAGAACACCGCCTCATCCTGACGAACACGTTCTTCTGTCTGCCGGAGCGAGAGAAGGCCACCTGGAGGCATCCTCGGTCGCGCCATTGGCACCTGCTGGACTACGTCCTCGTCCGGAGGCGAGATCAGCGGGACGTGCTGGTGACAAAGGCGATTACGGGCGCTGAAGGGTGGACCGACCATCGCCTCGTCATATCGACGATGCGTATTCGCCTACAGCCTCGCAGGAGACCACAAGGTAAGCGACCCCCAGGTAAGCTGAATGTTGCCTTGTCGTCTTTGCCTGCTCACCATCTTCATTTAAGCAATGAGCTTGCTCAACGGCTAGACAACCTTCCTATCGCTGCCACCGACGACGCCGCCGCTGCCGAGAACGCCTCCGTGGAGAACCGCTGGTGTCAACTGCGAGACACGGTCCAGTCGACGGCGTTCGCCGTCCTCGGTCGCGCTCCCCGTCAAAAGCAGGACCGGTTCGACAACAACGACGCCGCCATCAGAAATCTGCTTGCTGAGAAGAACCGCCTACACAAAGCCTACGTAGATCACCCCACTGATGCCACCAAAGCTGCCGTCTACCGCAGTCGCCGCCAACTGCAGCAACGACTCTGCGAGATGCAGGACGCCTGGACTGCTCGCAAAGCTTAGGAGATCCAAGGGTACGCGAACCTCAACGAATGGAAGAACTTCTTCTCTGCGATCAAAGCTGTCTACGGTCCGCCGACGAAGGGCACTGCTCCTCTCCTCAGCGCCGACGGCAGCACTCTCCTGACTGAGAAGACGCAAATCCTACAGCGATGGGCCGAGCATTTTCGAGAGTCCTCAACCGTCCCTTCGTCATCTCCGACGCCGCCATCGAGCGTTTGCCGCAAGTGGAGACCAACGTGGACCTCAACCTCCCGCCATCTCTCCAGGAGACCATCAGGGCCGTGCAGCAGCTCTCCAGTGGGAAAACACCCGGATCGGACGCAATCCCTGCTGAGGTCTACAAGCACGGAGGTCCCCAGCTGATGGATCACCTGACTGCGCTCTTCCAGGAGATGTGGCGTCAAGGGGAAGTCCCGCAAGATTTCAAGACGCAACCATCGTGCATCTTTACAAGCGCAAAGGAAATCGCCAAGTCTGCGACAATCACCGCGGCATCTCCCTGCTGAACATCGCCGGGAAGATCTTCGCACGAATCCTCCTCAACCGCCTCAATAACCATCTGGAACAGGGCCTTCTGCCGGAAAGCCAATGCGGCTTCCGTCGTCATCGTGGGACCACGGATATGATCTTCGCCGCCCGTCAACTTCAGGAGAAGTGTCAGGAGATGCGGACCCACCTGTACTCTACCTTCGTGGACCTGACGAAAGCCTTCGATACGGTGAATCGTGAAGGACTGTGGAAGATCATGCAGAAATTCGGCTGTCCGGAGCGATTCACTCAGATGGTGCGTCGGCTGCACGACGGTATGATGGCGCGAGTCAAGGACAACGGAACTGTCTCAGAGGCATTCGCAGTGACCAACGGAGTGAAGCAGGGATGCGTGCTGGCACCAACCCTCTTCAGTCTTATGTACTCTGCCATGCTGATGGACGCCTACCGCGACGAACGCCCTGGAATCCGCATCGCCTACAGGACGGACGGTCACCTGCTGAATCAACGGCGGATGCACTTCCAATCGCGCGTATCCACAACCAACGTCCACGAACTTCTCTTCGCCGACGACTGCGCCCTGAACACCACCTCGGAAGAGGAGATGCAACGGAGCATGGACCTGTTCTCCGCCACCTGCGAGAACTTCGGTCTGGTCATTAACACGCAGAAGACGGTGCTGATGCACCAACGGCCACCCAACTCAGCCACAGCCCCCAACGCGCCGCCGCAAATCAGCGTGAACGGAACCCATCTGCAAGTTGTGGAGAACTTCCCGTACCTGGGCAGTACCCTCTCCCGGAACACCAAGATCGACGACGAAGTCGCCAACAGGATCTCGAAAGCCTGTCAAGCCTTCGGTCGCCTCCAAAGCACAGTTTGGAATCGCCGCGGTCTTCAGCTGAGCACGAAGCTGAAGATGTACAAGGCCGTCATCCTGCCGACACTACTGTATGGAGCGGAGACTTGGACGGTGTACGCAAAGCAGGCACGTCATCTGAACCACTTCCACCTCAGTTGTCTTCGTCGCATCCTGAGGCTGAACTGGCAGGACCGAATCCCCGACATTGATGTGCTGGAACGGACGGGAATCCTCAGCATCTACGCCATACTGAGGCAAATGCAGCTGCGCTGGAGTGGCCACCTGGTGCGCATGGACGACGAGCGACTACCCAAACGACTCTTCTACGGAGACGTCGCGACGGGTTCTCGCCGTCAAGGAGGCCAGATTCGCCGTTACAAGGATACCCTAAAGTCCTCCCTGAAATGCTTGCAAATCAACCCTACCAACTGGGAGGAGCTCGCACTCGATCGACCGACCTGGAGGAGGACAGTGAAGACAGGCGCTGCGATCTGCGAAGCCAACCGCATCGCTGCCGCCAAAGCGAAACGCGAAGCCCGCAAATCACAACTTCGCCCAGTACGCAACGCCGCCGCCGCCGCACAACCGCCTCCAACGTGTCCTCGATGTCAACGGACATTCCGGGCTCGAATCGGACTTGCTGTACATCTTCGGACCAACTGCGCCTCTCTAACTGCACCAACCATCGTCCCCCCGCCTGCCTCTTCCTCCTCCTCTCCGCCGCCAACTAACTCTGACAATTCTTCTGATCCACCACTTCCATCCTCCTCCTCGTCCTCCTCGTCCTCCTCCTCCTCCTCCTCCTCCTTCTCCTCCTCACCCACTGCTCCAACGACGGCCGCTCAGGCGACTGTTCCGCGCGCAACAACCGACACTACCACCACCTCCCTCGACTCCAGCGATGAGGATCAAGACTAAACCTGCCCTCACTGCGACCGCACCTTCACCTCACACATCGGCCTGGTCGGTCACTTGCGAATCCATCGCGCAGAGACTGACGAACCAGTGCCTGGAGCACCAACCTACACCCACCGCACTCGCCTCCACTGCCCACACTGCCCTCGCATCTTCAGGCATCGCATGGGCCTTGTCGGCCACATGCGCATCCACGAGAGCGGCCTTGACCGCACTCCCGACACACCCACTACATCCAACACATCCACTGTGCACACCCCCACTCTCGCTCCATCCGTCTGCGCCACCACCACCACCACCACCGCCTCCTCTGTAGGTGACACTGACACCGCCGACTTCTCATGCCCACACTGTCCACGCACATTCACCTCACGCATCGGCCTGGTCGGTCACTTGCGAATCCATCGCACAGAGACTGGCGAACCAGTGCCTGGAGCACCCACCTATAACCAACAAGCTCGTCTCAACTGCCCACACTGTCCTCGCACTTTCAGGCATCGCATGGGCCTATTCGGCCACATGCGCATCCACGACGACCTGCGGTAGACAACCGCCCGCCACACCACACATTCACTCACTCCCTACCTCCTCCACCACCACCATCACCCCACCAGAAATCAACACTCACACACCTCATGCACCCAACTGCCACCTCCCACGCAAGTGGGAAGTGTGCATTTCGACTCGGTCCCCATGCGGCTTCGGCTGCACGGGTGACTTGAGTCCGAGACTATCCCGACACGTCAAGCGTCGTGGACAGGAAGGTTGCTGATTGACGCCCGCTCTCGGTTCACGCAGTTCGTCGCGTTGTGTGTGTGTGTGTGTGTTGTGTGGAGTGGCGGACTGGTGGGCTGGGAACGGGCTGAAACAGCACCTTCCACGGCACTCTCACGCAAGTGAGAGACACGCCGTTCAACCCCCGTTGTGTGAAATCCTGGTGTTGTGTGTATGGGGGGCCAGGTCGTGCCGTGGCGCGCGCAGTCATGGTCAGTCGACCATGACAGCCACCGCGCCCATTCCCCACTCCAGTCTGCTGACCGGCTCGGACAGTGGCTGGGGTGTGGGAGTGGGAAGGGAGAGTGAGGTCGACGACTCAGCGCATTTTCCTCACTATAAACAATCTGACTCGCTTGAAGCTATCACGGTGCGCTAAAAGCCGTGGCTTGGAAGGTTGCCAACTGACGGCGTAACTTGGACCTCCTCCTTAACGGGAGGCGGTCCGAGAGTCAGGCTGCAATGGCTCCTTTTTAATGTGGCCTTTATGGCACTCCCATCACAGTGTGGGATCCGAGCCAGGCGTTGGCGGCACGCCCAGGTGCGGCTTCGGCCGTGCCAGCCTCCAAATCTCTGCTGTGTTGGTTGAAATCCTGGTTATTTGTTGTGTGGGCCAGGGGATGTGGTGGAACGCCAAGGTGAGGATCCGTCCGAGCCATCCACCGGCGGTCTCCGTGACTCTGTCTTGACACCGGGCTCGGGCGAGGGTGGAGGAGAGAGTGTAGGTAGATGCTACACAAGTCTACCGGCACTATAAACCCCTGCGTAAGTCACCGTCCCTGCTCCCATTGCTGCTGCAACTGTGGGGCACACGGTGGACATCATCGAAACCGACGGTCGAACTGTCAGGGAAGCAGTCTTGATGTACGATTAAAACGCCTCTCATAATTTTCTGTACTAGTCATCGGTAGGCCCCAGGTTTATTTTCCTCATTCGTCATTGAGGAAAGATGAGTCATTGACTGAAATGTCAGAGACGGGATAGGGCCCATCTCCATCCACGCGAAGTATCTGACGGGCTTTCAATAGCCGAGTCCTGTAGGCTTATGATGAAGTACAGTCGGCTGCATTTTCTTCTCGTCTCCTTCTCGTATTGCTTTATGTCTCTGGCTTTCCGTTTTCGGAAATATTTGCCGCTAAACCTTTCAGGTTGTTCTGGAAACCTGTTTCCTCCTAATCACGAGCGATTCCACATGTCAGTCAAATGAATGCCAGAGCCCATCGGTGATCTGAAATAAAAGCTTACAGCATGCATTACGGCATGCAAGCTAACGGTCCAGTGGAAATCTTACTCTCCTAATAGGCCCAGATGGTTAATTAAACTTTGCATATTTTTCCTCGCATTTTCTGAAAATTTTCATAGGAGAAGTGGATGAGTAATTCTACCGAACGGTCACTTTAAAGCCGTATGGGATTGGCGCACATTGATTGGTGTCCCGAATAGAGAACAGTAACACTTCAGAACCACTTTCAGAAGGACTTGTGTTCCAAGTTTGGTAATCTTCTCCGTCGAAAAGATAGACTATAAATGAGTATTTCGGTACACGTTCTTGGATCCTCTGAGACCTATTGAACCCGCTGCCAAACCCTGCCGATCCTATCAGGCTTGTAACAAGGGGTTTGAGGTTTCATAGTATCTATCCACAAGAGGCAACAAAAGGTCAGCCAGGCTGTTCTAAGCAAACTGCATTCCAACTTCACTGTAGGTTTTGGGAGAAGTTCGGCCGTCGCAACCGACGATGTCACAGTAAGCTCCACAGCAAGGTAACGCAGGCACAGTGACTTGCGCGTGAATTAGTTTATAGTGAGTGTAGACTTGGACAGCATCTACCACACTCTCCTTTCCTATCCCCCAACGGGGCTCGATGTCAAGACAGAGTCCAGAAGACCGGAGGCAGGGGAGGACGCACGTGGATGACGTGGTCGGGCCCGCTCCACTTCGCATCTCCTGGTTCACAACAAACACTTGACCAGGATTTGAACCAGGATTTGGTCAGCTCGTTGGCTCCTTAATTTTAATGTGGACAAATGTGCGGTCCTGAGACTCCGCACCAAAAACACCAGTAAGGAGGAAGATTTCTTTCAATATGTCCTGGGTGGTCAGCCCCTTTCAAATGTTGTAGAACAGAAAGACCTCGGCGTCCTAATGACCCCCTGGCTGGAAAAATCATCACAGCGTCAAAGGGCAGCCAGACGTGCGATAAGGGTCTTATTTGTGCTGAGGCCAGGGTTTTTGAAGATCGATAAGGAGCTGTTCGGAAAAGCCTATGGGGCATTCGTCCGGCCTCACTTAGAGTTTGCAGTCCAGACCTGGCAACCGTGGTTGAAGAAAGATTATCAACGACTGGAAAGAGTACAGGCGATGGCTACGAAGATGGTCAATAATCTTAATCATCTGCCTTACGTAACCAGGCTGACCGAACTAAATCTGTTTCCTCTCAATTACAGGCAACTGCGCAGCCATCGCACTCAAACCTACAGAATCGTCAGAGGCCGTGGATGCGCCCTAGACTTTGTTGAATTCTTTGAATTGGCCGGGACGGACTGTCTGCGTGGTCATCCCTTCAAACTGCAGAGGAAGCTGGCTCATTCGGACGTCCGACGGAACGCCTTCTCGCAGAGGATCGTTGGAGCATGGAACGGACTCCCTGATCCGGTGGTCCTTTTCGGAACTGTCGAACCCTTTAAGTGTATACTAGATGTTCATTTGCTGAGAAACTACTGTACATATAATCACGATTGTTTTAGCGGTGGCATTTTGCGTCTGGCTCACACTTACCGCTAACTTTTAGATTTCCGCATTTGCTGATGTAATTGTTGATTCTATTTTTGTTTATCGATATGAACAGGGAGCTCAAGGGTCAAAGCCTCATTCCCTTAATAAACTGACTTAAAGAAAACAAACAGGTCAGAAAGGACATGGATGACTGGACAACCGCACACACGACCTGTACACCCAGTGGGGGCGCAAGCGCACCTACCGCCAGAGAACCAGGTGCCGAAGAACTCCTCTCACACACCAGGCTGCGAGAGCCACGGTCCACTGAATCATGGCATAGCAGGCGCATACAAGCCTTAAGGCCCAGTTTGGAGAAGGTACAAGCGTCTACACTGCAGGTTTGAAAAGTGTTAAGGCAACGGTATAGAGAAGGGTCCCACTTAACTGTCAGTAGACTGTGGATCGTGCCATACGTGACTTATGGTAAAGGGAGTTTTATGGGTGGGACAGCAAGCTAGACAGTAAGGTGACAAAATGAAAGAAAACACGAAAAATTGCCCGAATTTATGCCTTAAGTCTTATCCAACCCTACTGTACGACAACGGGAATACGAGTAGTAATTAAACAATAAGCAAAAAGTAAATTTCACAAAATCACAGATTTTGAGTTGAGGTGTGAGGTCATGGGAAGTAATCGCTGTTGACAGTGTAATTTCTGCCACAGCCTGCAAATGTATGCCAAGATAAAACCCCATATGACACGGTCCACAGTCTACTAACAGTTAAGTGGGGTCCTTTTCTATAACAACAACGCAGCCTTTACGCACGGATAGAACGGTATTGTTTTACATAATTCTTTCAAAGCATCAACTCGGACTCGATATAAGCAAGTAAAAAGGGGGGTGCTTCGTGCAAAACTCCTCAAAGACATCAAGACGTCCTCTTATCAACAGTATTTACGCAGCTATGGGATGGGAGAGATGGTTACATAAAAAAATCAAATGCAAACTTCGTAGGTTAGATTTTATCGCAACGTGGAGAATAAGCGCTCTCGCTGTGATTTTTAAAAGCAAATAGCAAAACAGTAGGAAAACCATAGGGCCACGAATATAACCCGACTTTTGTAAAAACAGTATGGACCAGCCAGTCCACGCAATGTCTATGCATTAATAACGCATCTATTTGCTGATTGCGATATATTCCCATGTTATCTTAGTAGTTTTCAGCCGCTCCTGCTCCGGACGACCCATTCGTCTTTGACTGCATATCGGTCGAGCCAATAATCTGCATACAGTGAGTGACCGATCTCATGAAATATCGACTGAAATTCTGAAATGCGTTTTCGATTAGGAAGGATTACTTGGTGGCGGTTGTAATACTGATTATCTTGCGGCATAATCTTATGATATTTCGCAGTCGGCAGGATGTCAGCTTTTGAATACGCTGCTTTTCAGTCTCCTGCAGAAAATGTACTCGGTAAAAACTGACTACTTATGTAGCATGCATTTTTCCCATTGATTTTCGATGGCCTTACAAACTCAAATATATCGTATAGAAACCACAAACAAAGATATGCTCTCTTTCAGTTGTTTGATAGAGAATTACATCGTCTTCATATTTTATGCTCGAAGAAGGAGTATAATTAGGTTTTAGACAGTTTCTAATTGTGAGATTTTTTAGGACCGGGCAATGTCCATTCATACACCTGCCTACCTGTCCTTTTACCACTGCTCCTCATGAAAAGTACTACATGGTCCGCATCTATTGCAAACTTCCATGGACACCATCAGGTATCTTTTTAAAAGCAATGAAAAATATGCGCTTTTCTTTACGCGGAGCGCATGCACCTTGTAGACTGAAATCACCGAGCGCTAATGCAACGATTAATCAGGTCCCAAATTAATCAGGGATTGGAAAACTTTTTTAAAACCTGATTATACTCCTTCTTCGAGTATAAAATATAAAGACGATGTGATTTTCCATCAAACAACTGAAAGAACGCATATTTTTGCTTGTAGTTTCTACGCAATATATTTAAATTTGCAAGACCATCGA